ACAAGCACCTGCCACACAACACCCCAGACTTAACAATTGTGGATGAGAAAGACAAAAAAGTTTGAATAGTGGACATTGCAGTACCTGGAGACAGCAGAAGAGAACAGAAGGAACTGGAGAAAATCACACAATATAAAGACCTGCAAATAGAAGTAGAATGACCGTGGCAAAAGAAGGCAAAGATAGTACCAATAGCTATAGGCACCTTGGGTGCCATCCCAAAACATCTGGAACACCCCCTGAAGACCCTCGGCATTGACAGAATCGCCATCAGTACATTGCAAAAGGCAGTGTTACTTGGAACAGCTTCCATCCTGCGACGATGCCTTTAACACCATCAAACAACCACATCCGCCTATCCCAGGTCCTTGGGAAGGACTCAATAGGTGGATAAAAATGCCAAATCCAGTCTGAACATCTGGCTGACTGTGCGACCAGCCATAATAATGCAAGTTGAATAGTGTATGCAGTTCAAGAAAACTTGTATCAAGTACCTTTACTTAAATAATGTAATGTAGTTTGTAACTTTACTAAGTAGAGCTTACGTGAATCAAACATCTGAATTTTGATTCACGGGAAGGAGCGAACTGTGGCAAAGGCTGAGTACCCTCTAGTTTTGTTTGCAGACTGAGATATCCCCTTTGGCCAGTGTGGATTATTTCAATAACATTTTTCTCTGCTTTTCCATTAAAGGAACGTGGGATGGCTATCTTAATCTCTATTTCTTCTGCTTATATTAATGCAAAAGAGAAAGGGATGGGGTCTCTAGGGGTGACAGGAAGCTTGACTAAATCTGAAAGGAGGGTACATGTAGTCCAATATCGGTGATTTGATTTTCTCTTTATGCTTCAAATATCAGCTGGCCTAAAGTGCCATTGATTACAAGGATTCAGGACCAACCACCTTGTATGGGGGAGATGGGCGGCATGCAAATTAATTAATTAATTAATTAAACAAATATTTAGTTGTAAGTTTATTCATGTAAGTCTTCAAGGTGGAAGGAGCCATTGTGGTCTTTGGGTTAATCCTACTCAGGGCAGGAACCCATATTAAAGATTCTCCAATAAATAGGCTGTGCTTGAACTAGCTTAGTGAGCAGGAGCTCACTAACTCTCTGGGAAATTGTTTTAATCATTTACTTGATTGAATCCTGTTACTCTAATCCGCTATTCCACAACCGTCAGCCTGGAGTGATAGGGGATTTTTCTTCATCGTCTTTTCTTTTTCTCAGTGATACCCTTTCTATCCTTGAAGAATGTTATCTGTGCTCCAAGATAAACATGCCAGCTTCTTCACTGCCTTGTCAAATTTCTCTCGGAGTGGTTTGCTGACTTGATTTAATGATAAAATACTTTTAGCTCCCTCTTCAGCTGTAAAGGCTACCCCATCAACTTAGAGATGAATTAAAAAAAATAAAAAATAAAACAAGGTGGTCCCTGTGCTCAGGCTTGAAGTGGGATTTCTTTGTATCGCGTAGAAGAGCTCTAGAGTAACAGCTTTTATTGTGATTGCAGCAGGGAAGAAAATGCCCTTTTATCTGTTAGAGTTAATGCATACATTTCTTTAAGTGTGATTTATTACATTTGTTGACTTGAGTGGCACATACTTTTGGTGGGCTCTTGTTCAACAGTCCTTTGAAGTTGCTTCTAGATGGCAACATCTGAGTGTCACCACTCCAAAGAGGATGTACAACTACTCTGTCTTTTTCTCTTTAATAGGGAATGGTGTGTGGAGAGGAGAGAAATAAGATATACAATTGCAGGAGGGTTTTCAGTAGAAAGCTGTTTTGGTTAGCTACCCTGTAAAATTCTCTGATTGAGACAGGGTGATCGCAGAATGTTTGGAAATATCCTTAACTTATTTCCACAGTTACTTCAGTTTTTCTGTAGTTCCAGAGAAATCTTTCATGGTGTAACCAGCTTCCCTCATTTATGAAATTCTAGAGGAGAGTCAAACATTACCTTCCATTTCTAACCCTCTAGGATTTCTCACTATTCCGTCTTAAATTATATTAAAGACAAAACTATGGAATAATTGCAGTGTCTTTTGATTGATGGCTTTAGGAACTGGTATTTTGGAGGACATCTTAAGCTATTCTTTGGTGTAGGTTAAAACTGGATTTGATTCAGAGAGAGCTCAGCCCTAGAATAGACAAATAGATATAAATGACTGTATCTATGTCTATATAACAGAGTGTTGTTTATCAGTGAATAGCTGTACGTTGCCAACCCACAACTAGTTTTAAGGAGTGAGTCATCCTGATTAGAAGATGTGACTTCTAGGCATTTAAGATGCATTTAATGATGTGTTTGGGATCTTAATCTAGACAATATGGTAGCTTTGCTCCCAATAATTTATTTGGAATTTGTTTTAACAAGATGTAGTTGTGGAGGCTGTCAAAATACTTCTTGAAAACATGCAGCTGGGCAGCGTATTTCGTTGTCCATGTTCTCTGTCTCATAATTGTTATTCTACAGAAAGTACTGAGAATAGAAATTATTCATCAGCTTTAATTGAAAGGAAGTAGACTCTGGATGCTATAATGTGTATAGAAATGTGAGTGTTGACCTCTACAGTCCATGAATCTTCCATATAAATTTGTACAGCTATTTTTATATCACCAGTCATATACCCAAGGCAGCACCAAAATAAAAATAGATGCTAAAAACCACGGTGATAAAAGCAGATAGTCACCTGGATTAAAATTGCACCTGCAGGAAAAAAAAAAGGCAGTCAAATTGGTGCTAAGCAGACCTGTGGGAGGAACATTTTGCAACTGGCCTCCTTTCACTGTGGAGGCCCCATCCCATGACATCCACCTGCCTCACCCCAGGAGCACCCACGAGAAGATCCTGCTCCAGAAATCCAAATAAGCGTGTAGCTATGTAAAAGAGCAAACTGTTGAGGTGTCTTCAATTGGAAAGGCCACATTTCCTGTATTGATTTGGGCCCAGAAATGCAATTGGCACAACACCAGGATAATATAAGGATAATGACCAGGATCATTATATCAGTAGGAGCCATATTTTGCATCAGCTGGATTTTCCAAATCTCGCACAATTCAGCAGTCTAACCTAGAGCTGAGAACTTGCTTGAAGATTTCTCTGTCTTGAAATGGCAAGTAGAATGTGATTGTTCAATCCAGCCCATGGGACCCAGATGGCAGGAGTCTGGGGTGTGTGGCTACAGCTGTTCGGACCCTTGACTCTAGTTCTCCAGCTGAGATAACGTCTGAGGACAAACAGCTAAAGAAAGGACTTCAACAGGGTTGACCATGGAAGCAAACTAGACTATGCTTAATGTATATTTGCCAGTAAAAATGGAGGCATGATTGCATTGATGACAGTGGCTGTAGTATGGAAAGCAACTTCATTTCTGCCCACCTGGTACATTCCAGCAGAGTCGGTGTGCTCCATATCCCCTCTCTTAAATGTTGTCATCTTGCGGGACTGAGGAAGCGTGCCTTCTCTGTCATGGCCCCACCCTCCAGAATAGCATTCCCCCAGAGATAAGGATGGTGCCCTCCCTCCTAGGGTTCTGGGGAGCTCTTAAAAACTGGCTTTGGTCCCAGGCCTGGTGTTAATGTATTATTGTATTTGGGCTTTGTTTGATTCATGTCGCTTTTAAGACTGTTTTAGTCTAGGCTGTCTGTGCGGTTTTATGTTTTATCTGTTTTTATGGATTTTTTTGGGTTTTGTACACCACACAGAGTCCATCGGAGTTGGGCAGCTATAACAAATTTGAATAAATAAATAAATGTGCCTGTGCGGAAGAGTCAATTGAGACAAACCTTGCAGTAACTCCAGAGGTCTTCAGTCAGCCACTGCTGATGCCCAACTAGGGAAGATGGACCTGGGTTGAGTCAGGCCTGGTTCCAATCATTGTTGCAAGCAGTGGAGAGACAACTGAAGCTGGTTTTGGCTTAAGTAGTCTGTTTGCTTGACCCAATGTGGCAGAGTTATGGCTAGAGAGCATCACTGAAGCAATGAGCATGAAACTGAGCAAACTCAGGGAGGCAGTGAAGGACAGGAAGGCCTGGCGTGATATGGTTCATGGGGTCACGAAGAAAAATGTGGCAGAGTTATGAGATGGTTATTTGCAGAATCGTTGTTCCTCTACCAAGGAGCACATGATTTGACCCCAATTTCCTAGCATGTGAAGTCTGATCCTGCTGTACTTGTTTCATTTGTAGAATCCTAAAACCAAAGAGCAGATTGAAAGTCTGTTACGAAACGGGAGGAATAAGGAGCTACGGGATCGTCTGTGCCGCAGACTGACGTTTGGGACCGCCGGTCTGCGCTCTGCCATGGGGGCTGGCTTTTGCTACATCAACGATCTTACTGTGATCCAGTCGACACAGGTGAGTTTCGGGGCCATTGTGAAGGCCAAAAGCGGGGCCCCTCCTTCCCCTCCCACATACAACGTCAAATGCATTGTCGGTGCCCCACAGGGTGCGAAAGCCATAACCTGAATTGGAAAAGCAAACGAAAAATCATTGTTTACTACCACCTGTGCATCTGACACATCCTTTGCTCATCTAAAGAGTTTGCGCCACACTGTTCAACTGACAAGGCTCCTAAGCAGCTGACCCAAGCAAGTCAAGCTGTCTCTTCGCTGCTGGCAGGTTTCCGTTTTGCAGTGCAATGCACTGTAGACACGGCCAAAAAGGGGGAAATGGAAGTGGGGGGGGGAGTAGAGGCAAAGATAAATGGGGAAGCCGCATATGGTGGTTTCTGCTGACTGCTTTACATTGGGTGACAGGCAGGCTTCCAACAGGGTAGGAGAAGAATCAGGAATTTATGGCACCGACTGAGAGAAGGTTATCTGGAGCAGGACTTGAAGAAAGCAGGAGCTGGCATCGCATTGGAGATTTTGGCATTGTGGAGAATGTAAACAACTCTTTTTCCTGTTGACTAGGCACGGAGCATTCAAGGAAACAGATTTGCCCAGTCTTGTTGAATAACTGCGAGAGCAAATGTTTGGGGTCACTTGTGAACTTGGCTTAACCCCCCTTACAGGGTAAAACAATGAGGTGGAGCAGTGCTTGCTATTCTGAGCTTCCTGGAGGAATATCAAAATACAGGGGATTTGTTCTTCCGCAGCCTGCCAGAATAACAAGTGTTTTTTTCTGAAAGATTTAAGTGGAATGGACCCTGAGGAAATGCATTTAGAAATGAGCCAAATTACAGCCTTGTCGGTGTGGCCCTGTTAAGGAACAAAGATGCTCACTGCGTGAAGCACTACTTCAGGCCCTTCCAACCAAGGGAACATCCCTTTTTTCTCCTGGTTTACGTGGGTAAAGGTGAAATTCCAGGGGGGCTGTAGCAGTGATCCAACGTGGCCCATGTATGCACTGAGACTGTTTCATTCTCCTCTTTCTCTAAATGGTCCGAGTGTGCGTGGTTAACTTACTAAAAACTTCCAGTTACGAATATTTGAAGCATGAAGAAGTGTGTGTTTGTGTGTGTGCGCGAGGACTGAAAAGTAGGTGAAATGTCTCTGAGTAGGGCTTGCTGTGCAGAAGTATAAACAGCCTGAAGAATGGGGCTGGTCCACAGATCTTGGATCACTAAGGAAGTATGTGGATCTATGGGCTTCCTTTTCTTGACTCGGAGCTGTTCATGCGCCGACAGCCTGCCTGGCACGTGCTGACTTTGTGTTTTGGTCTGCTGGGAAGAATGTGGAACTTGGGACTGGATGATAAGTCACCATAATAAGCATTTCTGGCAGAAAGTTCAGGTTCAGACATCAGGAAGTCTCTGTGGCTCGGCTCTGTTTTGTTGATCACATGCTGTACTGCTGGATGTTCGCTTCAGGAGCTGGTTTTGGGTAGCCGTTCTCTGCAGTCACTATTCTTTTGATCTAGGAGAATCGTTGTGGTTATTTGGTTGTGAAATAATCCTCTTTATATGTCCCCACGTTAGGGTGAGAAAGGGTTTGGAGAGCCGCCAGCTACAGGACTGGCTTTAGTCAGTTCAGCCCACCTCCCTCCCTCTCTCTTGCTGTAACTAGAAGAGAGAAACTGTGCTAATCTAACCTTGCCACCTCCAGTAGCTACAGTGGGCAGTTGTGGAAGTCTGCTCACCAGTCCACTACCCCGGTGCAACAGAGGGCACCAAGGCATGCCACTTGTGTAAAGGGCTCGGCCTTTGACCGCCTGGTGAACAAAGTCAAAGTTGCTTTTAGACGGACATGCCGCGCATGTTGTCAAAGGCCCCTCTGTGTGTTTGTGAAGCAGCTTTGTTCTACTCACTCCAGGCCCTTGGAACAGAAGGAAGGCAGTATTCCTACTCCCTCAGTCAGGCTCGAGGAGCTGAGCTGGACCATTTCTTTCTATAACAGAAGCCTTGCCTATCACAGCTCAGATTTGTGAAAATAACAGGGTTTTTTTTGTTTTGTTTCTTTAACTGCAGTCAGCTTACCTCTACCTAAGGTACAGCTTGTTTTTGTCAGCGTAAGGAACTGAAGCTGCACAAGAGACTAGAATAATGCTTATGTCTCTGTAAAGGTTCAGTCCTTACCACAGCATGTCCTTGCCATGTAGAACATCTTAAGATTATAATGTTATGAAGTCATATCTCAGCTTAAATAAACCATGGTAGGTTTGAGTGTTTGGCTCATGTGATTTGTCCTCATA